GCATTTTGCCACTTGGACTTATATATCCCTACCCACCACATACAGTTTTTTTGAGCTCCTGAGTTTTTTCTCACAGAGCACACACCTTAGACACGTGGGCTTCCTCATTCCTTGTCTGATCCTTTGGTTCACCTGGACAGAAAGGAATAGTGCGAAGCATAGGGATATTACTTTTATGTTTTCTCACATTGTTTTGCAGGTAGAGAGACACATTTCACTCCTCATCGCATTGGGCAGGCTCACGGCCCGAGACTGGACAGGCTGCACGCCACCGCATCGCTACATGGTGGCCCCACCACCGCCTGTTCGGCCTCCACGGGCCAGAGCTGTTGTTTGGCTTCGACCTGACTCTCCGTGGGTCAAGCTGAACACTGATGGATCCTTTGATCGCAACACTAGACTTGCCGGAGGAGGAGGCTTGATTTTGGACCATAGCGGCGCCCTCATCACCGCCTTCCACGCGTCCATTCAGGCCTCCTCGAGCTACGATGCAGAGATTCAGGCACTACAGATTGGCCTTCAGATTGCTGTCCACCTCTCTAGTCATATATGGATCGAGCTGGATGCTGCGGCTGTCGCCACCCTCCTGACTTCGGGCCATCAGGGCTCGTGGCAGATTCAGCACCCGCTTATGCGCATTAGAGATCTACTTCGGTCAGTCCATCATAGGATCACGCACATCTTCCGTGAGGGGAACAGACCGGCTGATTACCTGGCCAGCCTTGGCGCCATCATACAAGGCACACATACATTCCAGACCGACACTGCTCCACTCCGCCTTCGCACTCTTGTACGGATGGACCAGCTTGGATATCCAGCGTTCCGCTTTCACTAGTTTAGGATTTCTGTTTTCATTAGTATAGACATTTATTTCGGGCATCTGTTAGCCCGAAGATCGACTTTGTATTGTAGTTTTTGTTTCTTTTTCGTTTTTCGGTTTTTCTTTTTTGTTTTTTCTTTTGTTTTGACTTTGTTTGTGAGACTCCATAGACTTTTGTATCTTGTTCGTTGATATTTTGGGCTCCCGATTTTGGGGCCCTGATCTATGCACAGGTTGGGGATCCATCCCAATCCCCCGCCCTTCCGGGGCGTTGTTTGTTAAAAAAAAAAAAAAAAAAAAAAAAAAAAAAAAAAAAAACCTAGCAACTACAGAGAACTGACCTAGCAACTAGAGAGAACTAACCTAGCAATTACTAACTTAGCAACTACAGAGAACTAACCTAGCAACTACAGATAAGTAACCTAGTTGGAAGGTTAGTTGTCAACGGTCAACGCTGGAGCCGGAAGTCAACGGTCAACGTTGGAGTCAACGGGTCAAAATAATATTTAAATAACTAAAATAATAAAAAGAAAAGAATAAATCTTGGCCACACATGATGTACCAAATCTTGTGGCTAAAAATGAGTCTCACGTCCTCACTTTAAAAAAGCGGCCGCATTTTGAACTAAGCCCTATATATATATATATATATATATATCATATGAAAATTGTAGATAGTGCAAGAAATAAAAATAAATCTGGACCATGGGATCAATCATATAAATGGTTATGGTTAAGTCAATTTTTTTAATAATGGTCAAACATGGTGTGGCAATACAGTAAATAAATGAACATGTTGAGGTCAATATATACATTATAGTATTATACCATTAAGTAAAGTTAAAATAGACATTACACATTGTCCAATCATCTTACCCACCCGTGCTCCACCACAACCTCCCCCCCCCACAACCCATCACTTTCTCTCACACACAAACACACCAAAAACACACATATACACACATCTACGCCCGTCGCCACCACACACACCCACCTGCAGCCGCCACCATCCGCCTCCCACAGCAACGAGCCTCGCCGCCCGTCGACGAAACTCTGGCACTCGGCCATTCTCCTCCGACGAGCATCCACAGCCGGAAGTTCTTCGCCCACCACCACTGCAAAACACTCCACACCGGCGCCACTGTCAGCGACCACCATCATCGCCGCCTTAACAGACGGCCGCCGCCCACCCCATTTCTCACACACTAACACAGATCTTACACACACAATTGACGGAACACATAAACCACTAATGCACCACCTCCACCTCCGGCCGTCGACCTCTGACCACCGCCATTGGCACACCGGCTGATTCCGTCACCCCCGCAACCAACCGCAGCCCCACCACCAACCTCCACCAGCCCAACCACTAACCACCAACAACCCCGCCAACAACCACCACCAGATCTGCCTCCAACCACCACCAATCCATCCCCCAACCACCACTATCCCCGCCATCTACTCGAAACACCACCAGCCCCGCCATCGACACCAACCATCACCAGCCCTGCCACAACCACAAACACACCCGCCGCCGCACAGCCACCGTCTGTAATTATCACCACCGCCATCTAGCCTCTCCAGCCAACACCAGCGTCGCCGTCAATCTTCGTCTCTGATGCTGTCGCCGTTGTCCATCTCCTCTCTGTGTGTCGCCATCGATTTCGGTGTCCAAGTTCAGGCAATTGCCACAGGCTCGTCCATATCCTCTCTGTGTGTCGTCAATCGAACACCTCCGAAAAATGAACAATCCGCCACACTGACCATAGACGCCGGCGGCGATTTGAAGGTAGCAGTGAGATGTCGCCCATAATTTCCTGTGTTCTTGCTGTTTGTGAAATCGATTTGGGAAGATGAACGGGATTTGGGAATTGGGATACATGAACTACTTTACCAATTGCCATTTCATTAAAAAACTTTAATCATAATACAAATTAATTAATGGTTTAAATATGTATAATATATTATTAAAAATCTAATAAACATAAAACATTGATTAGTGAATGTAAAAAAAATATATATGTTAAAAATTCCAACATTGAACCGTAATAACCCAAAACTTTAAAATATAAAACGATAATTAAACTGACATATAAAGTTTCGAACCGCAAATTTTATTTCGTTCAGTTTTGATTACTGTAATGTGCAGATTGTGAGACATTAATGTGAATTTTTATCAAACGATATCGTGCAGGACTTTGGTTTTTAATATGCAACATAGCATACATTAATTGAACCAATAGTATTTTCTTACCACACTCTAAATTAAAATCGAACATAAATGATTGATTTAGCCGGTCAATTAAACGATTTAACCAACATAGTCTATTTAAATTATTATGTATATTTATTATTTATAACATTGTAATTAGTATTTTAAAATGGAATGTAAAAAAATATATAATCGGGCAGAATTTATATTTTTTAATCGAACATTTTAGTTTGGACGGTTTTGATCGCTAATGTGCAATATAATAGTCATTTATGTGCAACCTCTCTAATACTATTGTGCACTTGCAACAACAACAACAACAACAACAACAACAACAACAACAACAACAACAACAACAACAACAACAACAACAATAATAATAATAATAGTAATAATAATAATAATAATAATAATAATAATAATAATAATAATAACAATAATAATATAATAGTAATAATAATAATAATAAAAAAAAAAATAAAAGTTTGTACCGAATTTATGTTTGTTGGTTCTCGTTCGATTTCGTGCAACATGGTAGTCTCTTATGTGCAATTCGTATAACCATAATTCATTCGCAATACATACAAAAATTCAGATAAAAAATAGTATTGTTTTTCATAAAAAAAACTATATATAAAGAAATTGGTAATATTTTGCATATAGTTTGGCATGCTCAATTATTATAATTTTTTAAAAAGACTATATCCGACATTTAGACGACTAATATTTTATTCGATCCATTAGCAAAATTATTGTATAGTTTGATACGTACAACGTGTTGTTTTTATACAGTGTAACGTGTTGTGGACCAATTCCATTCTAATTAAGATCAAATTCTCTCTAATGGGAGCGACGCATTCTCCTGGTAGGAGGGATTCTTCACATTCTCGTCAATCTGAATTCTCTCTTTAGAGTTCCTCAATCGTGTTTCTTGATTTCTTTCAGTTTCCTCTATTTCTATTCTTCTTTTTCTTTTCTTTTCTTTTTTCATTCTAGGGTTTTTTTCGGGTTCTGCGATTGTGGTCGTATGGACTCGAATTCAACCAAGGCTACTGCGACAGAGGGACCGATGAAAGCAATTGGGAATATGCTGAAGAACATTGACCTAGAAGGAGATGAAAGTGGTGTTATCGAGTTGGAAGTGAATGACATTCAACCAAGTGCTGCTGAATGTGCTCGAAGCTTGTTTGGCAAAGTTATCAGTGACAGAAGAGCCACATTATTCGGAATTAAGAGAACAATGAGTGCCATATGGCAAATCCAACAGCCGGTGGAAGTCCGAGAGCTCAGACCTAATTTCTTTCAATTCATTTTCACTAATTCAGAAGAGAAAGAGAAAGTGGCTGCTGGTCTTCATTGGATATTTGAAAATCAATACCTGATACTGAGAGAATGGGTTAAGGGGATGGGGGTTAATCATCCGAGTTTCGATGAACTCAACATTTGGGTTCAAGCTCATAATTTTCCCCTCGACTGGCTCAGTGCAGAGGTAGGTTTGAAGTTGGGGAAGATATTCAAAAAAGTTAAGAACGTATTAGTGGTCAAAGCAGGGGGAGGCAAAGGGGGTTTTTTAAGGCTCCTTGTCACGGTGGACCTCACCAAACCGATTCCACGGTGTAAATCAATGAAGCTGATGGACCAGCAGGTGTTGGTTGCGTTTCAGTATGAAAGGTTAGTCAATTTATGCTTTTACTGTGGCAAACTAGGGCACTTAGATCGTGCTTGTTCCAAAAGGCTATCAGACATCGAAAATGGGAGCTTGAAAGAGGGACAGTATGGGGATTGGCTCAGAGCTCTAGAATGAGGGGGACCTCTTAGAAACAGCTTCAAAACGAGTCAAAATAGCTCTCCTCCAAGAACTGAACACAATGATACTGCCCAAAATACAAATGGGAATCAGGGATCATCGAGCAGGGATAATTGCGCTAATATGGTTAGCAAGAAGATTGATAAGGATGGAAACCTAAAAATGCCATTATCACAGTTGGGAGAACATGATCCAGTCATCAACTTTGAGAAAGGCAGCTCAAGCAAAGAGGCTCATATGCAGTCAAAGCAAATTGTTTCAGTAGAAAAGACTATGGTTGATAAAAGTGATAATCAGCAAATTATCTGCTTTGGGAAACCTGATCACTTTGACCTTGTTATGGAAGAAACAGTTCCAGAGTTGCAATTAGTTAGCCAACCAACAGAAATCTTTCAAGTGGACTCTAAAGCAATCTCAGCCAAACCCAGGGGATGGAAAAGAACTAAGGTGAAGGAAGGTAGACTTACCAGACAGCAGACTCAGACTGAAGGAGCTATTCAGCCAGAGCCTTTGAAAGGGGCAGACACTTAATCCAATCTCAAACAGAGAACACAGATGAAGAAATTCAGTTGACCAGAAGTCAGAAAAAATCCAAGAAGTCCAATGCTAAGATGGAGAAAGCCAGCCTCAAATGGCCCCAAGTGGATCAATGAAAATGATCCTGTGGAACTGTAGAGGGTTGGGTGGACCCTCTACAGTTTCTCAATTGAAGGATTCTATCAGAATCCACCATCCCAACTTCATTTTTCTTTCAGAATCAAAAAAACAAAAAGAGTTTGTACAGACTGTTTGCTTTAAGCTAGGTTATAGTGGTAGATGGGCTGCAGCTAATCCCATAGGTATCAGTGGTGGTTTAGTGCTGATGTGGGATAATAATCAGAATATTGTGCAAATTATTCAGCACCCTTTTTGTTTTGAAGTGGAAGTCAGTAAGCCTGATGGAGTGGGCACCTTTTGGTTGGTCTTTGTGTATATTAGCACTGCCAGAGCTGTTAGAGAAGAGCAATGGAAATTTCTCATTCAATCTAGAGCTAAGTGGGGTCAAGAGTGGATAATAGGAGGGGATTGGAATGCTATTGTGGATCTGAGTGAGAAAAGAGGAGGTCGAGACAAGAGCAATGCTGATATGATAAGCTTCCAAAATTTTATCAGTCAAATGGAGATGGTTGAGGTGAAGATTCAGGGGAATCAATTCACATGGTCAAACAACAGAAGCAATGAGCATTTTGTGGAAGAAAGACTTGATAGAGTCTTTGGTTCATTTCAGTGGTCAGCTGCTCACACCAATTCTGTTGTGTTAAACTGCTTCAAATCCTCATCTGACCATAGCCTGATGGTGTTGCTTAGTGATCAGCTCCAACACAAGAAAAAGTTCAGATTCATATTTGACAAAAAAATGGATTGCTAAACCAATGTGCAGAATGTTGTTCAAGATGCCTGGGACTCTCAATGTCTAGGTACTCCTATGTTTCAGTTCCAAGAAAAGATAAAACTCACTAGAGTAGCTCTTCTCAGGTGGATCCAAGCCTTCAAATCCAACAATGCCAAACATATTGAGAAGCTAACTCTTTAGCTTGAAGAGATGAGACTAATGAGTGATGGGAAAAACTGGGACACTTGGGAAAAAATCAAGGAGTTAGACACTACCCAATGTGAAAAAGAGCTTTTTTGGAAGCAAAAATCTAGGAATTTACGGCTTAAAGAGGGGGACCAGAATACTAGATTTTTCCATGCCCTGACCATTCATCGGAGGAAACTCAATGCCATTACTAGATTAATTGTTGAGGATGGTAGAGTTTGTGATTCTAAGCCAGATATTGAAGCTGAAGCATGCCAGTTCTATAAGAAATTGTTCTCTTCTGAAGGCTCTGCAGATGATGAGGGTGTTCTTCAGCTTATTCCCAGAGTCATTACTCATGACATAAATCAGAACTTAGTAGCCTTGGTTGAAGAAGAAGAAATTCAGACTGCTCTATTCAGCACGAACCCGGAGAAAGCCCCTGGAATTTCAGGTATGTCCCCTTTATTTTTCCAACATTTTTGGCCCATCATTAAGAATGACCTCTGTGCTGCTGTTTCTAGTTTTTTTAAATCTTGTATGCTTCTGAGACGTTGGAACCACACTATCATCACTTGAATTCCCAAATGCATAAACCCTTCTTCTCTCAGTGATTTTAGACCTATCAGCTTATGTGAAGTTGCCTACAAGATTATTGCTAAAATCATTGCTTCTAGAATTCAGCCTTACCTTCATCTTTGTGTGAGTGAGAACCAAACTGCTTATATTCCTGGTAGGCAATTGTTAGATAATGTTATCATGGCTCATGAAGTTATCCATTGCATAAATAGGCATAGAATTGGGAAGCAAGGGTTTTTAGCTCTCAAACTTGATATGATGAAAGCCTATGACAGGAGCATAAAATTCTGAAGCAATTTGGGTTCCATAAAATGTTTATCAAGTGGATTATGGGGTGTGTTTCTTCTACCTCTTTTTCTTTGAATATAAATGCGGAGCTGTGTGGGTACTTTGATGCATCTAGGGGGATTAAACAAGGGGACCCACTGTCCCCTTATCTTTTTATTCTTGCCTCTGAGCTTTTTTCTAGGTTGATTAAAAGAGAGGTTGATAGGTGGGATTTAAGAGGGGTTAGACTAGTAAGGGGTGGGATGAGATTGTCTCATTTATTGTTTGCAGATGATTCTCTGTTATTCTGTGAAGCTAATGCTAATTCTATATCTGTTGTTTTGAGAATTCTAGACACTTACCACAAATATTCAGGTCAGAAATTCACTCTTTACAAATCCTCTATATTTTTTAGCAAGAATGTCCCTGACAGCTTGCAAGATGAGATTTGTCAGCTTCTCAATGGGGTGCAAGTGCACAGATCCTACAAATACCTTGGCTTACCTCTTGAAGTTGGAAGATCCAAAAGCCAGACATTTGCATTTGTGGTTGAGGCAGTCAGGAAGAGGGTATCCAGCTGGAAAAACAACTTCCTTTCACTTGCTGGTAAAGAAGTGTTAATGAATTCAATGCTATCTGCCTTGCCTATCTTCACTATGTCCTGCTTTGCTCTGCCCAAAGCCACATGTCTTGAAATTGCCAGCATATTTTCTAAATTCTGGTGGAAGAGTGGGGGTGATAATTCAGCTGGAATCCATTGGAAGAAGTGGGTTGTTGTTACTCTTCCAAAAAAGTTGGGTGGTCTTGGTTTTCATGATCTGCAATTATTTAATGATGCCTTAATCCTGAAGCAGCTGTGGAGAGTGGCTTCCTTTCCCAACCTGCTGGTCAGCAAATTTCTGAAAAGCAAACACTTTCCATCTGGCTGCATATTTCAAGCTCTTGTAAATCAGAATGCCTCTTGGCTTTGGTCAACCTGGATGTCAGTTAGAGACAGATACAAGCAGTGCTTTCAAATTCACATTAGAGATGGGATGTCAACTAATATCTGGGGATATCCTTGGGCTTCATCAATTCCTTTTATCAAATCTCCAAGGGTTGTGATCATTGAACCTGAGATTCAGAGGGTATGGGAATTAATGGAAGAGGGTGGCAGGCAGTGGAACATCCCTCTTGTCAAACAGTTGTTTAGTGACGAGGATTGTGCAAAAATTTTTAAAATTAAAAATCTTGACCCTCACAAGAAGGACAAGTGGATATGGGATAATGAAGCTATGGAGAAGTTCTCAGTTGCCAAGGTCTAGTCAAAGCTGGTTACAGACAAGTTCAAAAGGCTAGATATAGCTGAGAGTAGCACATCTGCAAATGTGGTGAGGAAAGTTAGAAATAGAACATGGTAGCTCAAAGTTAAAGGCAAGCTTAAGCATTTCCTGTGGAAGTGCTTTTCAGCTGCACTACCAGTCAAATCAGAGCTTAGAAGGAGAGGGCTTTTTGTTGATGCTATCTGCAGCTCATGTGGGGAACAAGTGGAAACTGTAGAACATCTCTTCTTTCAATGCAGGAAAGCCAAGAAAGTCTGGAGAAACTCACCCATCTACTGGGACATAGCACTTGATCCATCAACTAAATTCAGAACCAGGTGGCAAGATATATGCTCCGTGAACAAACTTGAAGTGTCTGTGGCCAGAATAGAGCTTACCACATATATATTGTGGTGGCTCTAGAAAGCTCGCAAATTCAAAAAGGAGTGGGTACCAGCTCATGTCATTGTGAAACTTGCCATGAAGGACTGGCAGGAATTTGCTAACAGAAACAGCAGATAGGTTCAGCAGGAAGGAAGTGGGCCTAGGTTCATTGATGTCCAGTGGGTGCTTCTTTCTTGTTACCTTTCTTTAGTTAGTTTCTGATTTTTTCTTATTGGTTGTGACTTGTTTTGATCTGTTATTGGTGTAGTAGATCTTTCTTCATTGTCAATCTAGATTGCATGAGATGCTAAGGTTTACAGATTTCTCCTGGCCTTAGCATGCTTATGTAGGCTAGTGTGTGTAGTGTTGGAACTGATTTTGTGGCTGTTTTAGAACACCCGTGTGAGGGTGCTTCTCTTGTATTATAACAGTTGGTTCTCGACTTGTATTTGGTACATTCAGTGATATAACATCTTCTATCGTTTCGGAAAAAAAAAAAAAATAACGTGTTGTGTTATAAAGTGCAACATATTACTGTATAAAGTTCAACATATTAATTTTGGTACATTAGCATGCTTGTGAATTTTTTTGGATAGGTGGTGCGATAATGTGCAACGAATTTCTCTTATAAAGTGCAACATGTTATTTTATAAAGTGCGGCATTTCGATATATAAAGTGCACTAGCTAATTTATACATTCCAATATAAATTATGGGTATTTAAAAACTAGTTTTAATAGATAATATAGAATTGATCTAAATAATTGTATATTTTTATTTATTATTTCTACTTTATAATTTATATATTATTCGGATAGTTAAAATTAACCTAAATATTTGAAATAATTTAATACTTATATTATACAAACATATGTAATATTTAATATGTTTATTTAATGATTTATATTAAAAGAACCATAATACATATAGGTGTAAATAAAATATATAAGAAATAATCTTTTTATATATTTGTTAGTTCGGTCTGTTTCAATCATTATGGTGCAACCTATAGATCATTAATGTGCATTTCATATAAAACTATTGTGTTATCACATAACATTTATATTAATGTGCTTAAATACAATATATTGTGTATTTTTTCAATTAATATTCATTTATTAAACTTTATATAAATTACAAATTTGACAAATGTATTAAATTGAAATATAATAAAAATTTATCAATTTCCAATCAAGTCCTTTAACTTGTCCAATTCCCAAATAAAATGCCCTAATCCCTAAATGTCATATTCTACCATACCACCCTTCCGCTCCAGCAGCCACTCCGGCCGACGACTTCCAGGCGACGTTGTATACTCAGTCCGACGACGTCCGACGACTCCAGCGACTTACAACTTTTTTATTTTTTATTTTTTAAATGCCGCCATTGAAGCTCGACAGTGTGGCAGCTCATGGGCCATCGAGCAGACACGATTCTGGTGAA